ATTTCCAGATGGCTCTCCACAAAATCGACAAACTCAGCCCCGGAACAGATCTATTCCACAGAGAACATTTCCTCAAACATCCTCTCAAAACACTTTAAAAAATTCTTCATTTATTCGTTCAAATTTTGAACCACCTAACTTGGATCATATTAAATGCAGAGCCTGTTCAGGATTTGGACATTATGCTAATGAATGTGCAAATACCTTGAGAAGAAAAGGAATGAGTTTGATTTGTGCTGTCAGTGATGAGGAGGAAGAGCAACCAGAACAGACAGAGGAACAACAATCCACTAAACAAGCTCTTTCTGTCAGATATATCACTGGAAGTGATTCAGAAACAGAATCACAAGGAGTTTCTCTAGATGCTGCAACACTTTCTGAAACACTTTCAGTAACTGAAATTTCTGAGTTAAATACTTATCATTATACATGTTTAAACTCTATCTCTTTGAATGCAGCAGAATCCAGTATTGAAGCAGTTAGTGATGAGGAAGAAATGTGTAAGAAATTGGTTCTTGACCTGGAGAAGAAGACTCAAGCTCTAGATGCAGCCAACAAGGAAAAATCCTCCCTTAAAGAAACAATCACACATTTGGAGGTTGGAATCACCAAAAAGGATCTTGAACTGGCAAAGGTGAAAGATGAACTCAAAAAGGCAACTCTAGCAATCAAGAGGATGAATACTGGCACAACTAAACTCGAAGAGATTGTGTCAATGGAAAAGCACTACAAAAATGAAGGGCTAGGGTTCAAAAAACAAATGAAGCTAGTAAAGAAGAAATAAATTGTCTTTGTAAAAGAAAAGGGTGCAAACAGAAAGGAATGTAGGAATTCCACAGTCACCACTCCAGATTCCAGAATAAGAGGTTATGTTTGTCATTACTGTTTCTCACCAGGACACATTCGTCCATTTTGTGAAAAAACTCAGTAGTGACAAAATGTTGTATAAAATAAGCCACATCACTCCAAGGAACACCTCAAAGAAAAAGGTAGAATTTACCAAAAAGGAGTGTAAAATATGAACTCCCAAAGGTAAACTTTTGTGCAAGGCAGTATACACCTCTTTAAATGCTAACATTTCAGGTTCATGGTACTTTGATAGTGGATGCTCTAGGCACATGACTGGAACAAAGGAATTTCTATCAAACTACCACACACTTAATGGAGGACGTGTAACCTATGGAGGAGGAGCTAAAGGCAAAGTGGTTGGACGTGGAACACTCAGTATTGAGGGACTTCCAAAACTTTCAAATGTCCTACATGTTGAAGGATTGGGGTCAAATCTCATCAGTATCAGTCAATTGTGTGATGATGATCTACGTGTAGAATTTGATAAATACTGTTGTTCTGTATTTGATAATCAAAATCATTGTGTACTGACAGGTTCCAGATCAATGGATAATTGCTATCAAACAGGTGACACCATCTCATGCAAGAGCTCAAGAGTAAGTGAAGTAGAGCTGTGGCACCAGAAACTAGGACACACAAACTTCAAAAATCTGAAGCTGCTCAACAAGTACAATGCCATAAGAGGAGTACCAGATCTCAAGATCAAGGATATTCCTATATGTGGAATGTGCCAGAAGGAAAAGCAAACCAGAGTACCACACAAAGTGTTGCAACACGTTGGTACCACTATTTGTTTTGAACTTGTACATATGGATCTTATGGGTCCTATAGAGGTAGAAAGTCTAGGTGGTAAAAACTATGTCTTTGTATGTGTTGATGATTTTTCAAGATATACTTGGGTGTATTTTTTAAGAGAAAAATCAGACACTTTTGAAGTTTTCAAAAATCTATACAGGTTTGTTAGAACTCAATTTCAAGTTTTTGTTCGTAGAATAAGATCTGATCATGGAAAAGAATTTGAGAATGCTCTATTTCTTGCTTTTTGTAATAAAAAGGGTATAAAGCATGAATTTTCTGCTCCAAAAACTCCTCAGCAAAATGGCATTGCTGAAAGAAAAAACAGAACCATCAGGGAAATGGCTAGGGTGATGATGAGTGCAAAAAATCTGTCTAAAAGGTTTTGGGCTGAAGCTGTCAACACAGCTTGTCACATCTCAAATCGTGTGTATCTAAGATTAGGATCTATGATGACTTCATATGAAATTATTTATGGTAAGAAACCTAATCTAGAATACATGCATGTGTTTGGATGTGTCTTTGGATGTGTCTGCTATGTTCTAAATGATAGAGATCATCTAGCTAAATTTGATTCAAAAAGTGATTTGAGTTTGTTTATGGGATACTCTAATAACAGTCATTCTTATAGAGTATATAATCTAAGAACTCGAACCATTATTGAATCTGTAAATGTGGTATTTGATGACTTTGCTGATCTCCACAGTAAAACAGCTGAAGATGAGGTTGATGACTTAATTGCTGAAAGAGAAACAACCAAAGAAGACACTTCTGCCACAGATGGCCCAGATACAGACAGTCCAGTTTCAAGAGAAGAGGTGTTGAGCCAAGTGTCACCACATCTGACTCAGTACATCCCACAGAGAATATAGAGACTGAATTGCAGCCAACCTTTGATGTCTGCAGAAAGGAACCATCAAGTAGAATCCAGAAAAATCACCCATCTACTCAAGTAGTGGGAGATATCTTTGATGGAATAAGAAACAGAAGAAAAGAGAGAGTGAATTACAGAGATATGGTAAGATTTGCAAATTGATCTTCTGAATGTGCACTAACTGGAACTACTTGTTTTGTGTCTCCAGTGGAACGAAGGAATATTGCAGAAGCTCTGAAGGATGAATTCTGGATCAATGCAATGCATGAAGAGTTAAATCAGTTCATCAGAAATGATGTTTGGTACTTTGTTCCCAGACCAAGCCATGTAAATGTAATAGGTACCAAGTGGATTTTCAAAAACAAAACTGATGAAAAAGGTACAGTGGTAAGAAATAAGGCTAGGCTAGTAGCACAAGGTTATACTCAAATTGAGGGTATAGACTTTGATGAAACTTTTGCTCCAGTAGCTAGAATTGAATCTATTAGGTTACTTCTTGCTATAGCCTGCTTTCTTAAAATCAAACTGTATCAGATGGATATCAAAAGTGCATTTCTGAATGGGGTTTTAAATGAGGAAGCATATGTAGAACAACCCAAGGGTTTTGAAGATTCTGCCAAGCCTAATCATGTTTTCAAGCTTAAGAAGGCATTGTATGGTCTTAAAAAAGCTCCTAGAGCTTGGTATCAAAGACTCACTGACTTCTTACTTGAAATACAGTTCAACAGAGGAGAGGCAGACAGAACCCTATTTGTTAGAAGAACTAATAATCATATCATTATTGTTCAGATATATGTTGATGATATTGTTTTTGGCTCTACTTGTGCTAACCTTTTACAGTCTTTTGTAGATTCTATGTCTCACACTTTTGAAATGAGCATGGTAGGGGAGTTGAATTACTTCTTAGGACTCCAAATCAAACAGACAGGTGAAGGAATTTTTGTAAATCAAAAGAAATATGCTCTCAATCTGGTTAAAAGGTTTGAGTTGGAGTCAGCCAAGCACATGAAAACTCCAATGGGTTCTAGCCAAAAACTGTCCAAGGATGATGTTGCAGAAGATGTTGACAGCACTCTTTACAGAAGCATGATTGGAAGCCTTATGTATCTAACAGCAAGCAGGCCTGATATTATGTTTAGTGTTTGTGTGTGTGCCAGGTATCAAGCTAATCCCAAAGTCACTCATCTTAAAGCTGTGAAGAGGATTATTAGGTGTGTTGCAGGTACAGTAGACTTAGGGATTCAGTTTTTCAAAGACACAAATACAAATTTGATAGGTTTTAGTGATTCTGATTGGGCTGGGATATTAGTGACAGAAAAAGCACCTCAGGTGCATGTTTCTTTTTGGGGAATAATCTAGTTTATTGGTTTAGTAGAAAGCAAAATTGTGTATCTCTCTCAACAGCTGAATCAGAATATGTAGCTGCTGGAGGATGTTGTGGTCAACTAATTTGGATGAAACAAATGTTGGGAGATTATGGGTTGACCAGTGATACCCTGACCATATATTGTGATAATTCAAGTGCTATTGACATTTCAAAAAATCATTTTCAACACTCACGAACTAAACACATAGATATTAAACATCATTTTATTCGTGATATAGTTGAGAAAAATATAGTGTGCTTAAAGTACATTCCTACAGAAGATCAGCGGCTGACATCTTTACAAAGGCATTAGATTATGAGAGGTTTTCTAAACTCAGAAAATCTCTCGGGATGTGTACTCAATAAACATGTCCTGAAATATGTTGCAGCATCTCATTAAACATCTTAAGCTGCAACATAATTTACTGAAGCTTAGCTTCTTTAAATAATGACTTCACTATGATGGATTATTTTCTAAATAAGTAACTGGAAGTCTTTCACCTTGAAACGTGATCATGCTTCATGTAAACATTTAGGAAATATTACACTCACATAAGTCAAACTCCTCTATTTTGATAGTCATATCTTAGTAACTGAGGAACCTTCAAACTGCACACTTGATCATGTTCCATGTGAATTGTTTGACTTGAAAGTAAGAGTTATATATATATATATATATATATATATATATATATATATATATATATATATATATATATATCTATGCCTGATTAGCCATTTTTTCTCTCACTATTAACCATCAATAAATATGTTTTTTATTTTTGTGAATATTTCATGAGTGCTACGGTTTTTATTTTTAATTTTTGAATTATCCCTATTTATATGGGTCATGGGTACATGGGTTAGTCCTTGATTTTCCACTAAGTCCACTCCTTATTATGCCATGTGTCACGTTTTGCTTTAAACTGCCAAATAGACCTTTATTCTTCTTAATCACACTCTCTCCAAGAAAAACGCACACCACTTCTTCACCTTCTCCACTTCAATTTTTTTTCTGCAAAAATTAGGGCTTATAAATTTCGTGCTTCTTCCTTTGAAAATTCACACTCAAAAATCAAAAGCACAAAGAAGCAATCTCTCTTTATCTACTGTATCATGGCATCTCCTCCTAGAAATTCTCTTCCAGCCGCCGTTGGTGATGCCCACAACAATGCTGCAGCACCTGAACCAGCATACCCAAATCTGGCAATCATCGTTCATCCTGTCAACCTTGAAGCTGTTCCAATCAGCTACATTGAGCCCGGAGATGAGCTGAATCCGATCGACCCAGACAATTTCGAGTTCGTGGGTCCCTCTTCCACTGCCGGAAGATTTCCAACTCGCCGGTCCAAGCGCATGAACCCCTTCCCAGATCTGAATACTGCTGGGTCACAACGCCAGAGGGGAGCAAACTCTCCCAGAAGAGGAGGCAGAGGTGGAAGAAGAGGAGGCAGAGGTGGCCGTACTCCAGTTAGGCCAAATCCACCAAGAGGCCTTCATTTGGTGGATGAAGAAACTGATGATGAAGAAGGAGATCCTAGCTTTGCAGCACCAGAGGCCCAAGATCTATCCTCCAGCTCCTCTGAGTCATCATCCAATGACTCACCTCCCCCACCATCAACTCAGGGGGAGACATCTCAGCCTAGCATGGCAGCAGCAGCCTCTCAACATCCTGTTTCTGAAGGTGTTGCTGCCCATGTTCCTGAAGATGCTGCTGCACCCACGGTCTCAGAAACTGTCCCTCAGAGAAGTGCTGCTGAGGATGCTGCTCCTTATCAGGATGAAGAAATGCCTGATTTTTCTGGGATGTCCTCTGCAGAGCATGTTGACATTCCCACTGTTGATGCTCAGGATTTTACCACTACTGAAGAAACACCATCTGCACCACATGCAGACCCTCTGGAAACTCTGGCAGAAGCAGCAGTTCATGTGGATGCTTCCCCTCCTCAGGCTGAAGAACCAGAGAACAGTGAAGACAGCTGGGAGATTCCTTTGGCTTCCTTTCGCAAGAATTTGCCCTCCTCAGAGTCAGACAGTGACTCATCTGAGAACTCTTCTCAGGCTGAAGAAGATGTTGCCCCACCTGCTGCATCACCTGAACCAGCATACATTCCAGATGAGCTTGAAGATTCAGAAGAAGAGGACTCCTCAGAAGAAGAAGAACCAGACTTGGATGGGAATAATTTGTCATCCCCTTTTGAGGTAAACAATGCCTTCAGTCCTAATTTTTATTTTGAATCTGATTCCATTTTGAGTCCTCAAGTCATGAATTGTCAATTCATTGAGGAAAAGAAAATTTCCAAGGAAGAGTTTGATAAGCATAGGATCACTACTTTTCTTCATCAAAGAAAAATTCTTAGCCTAGTTGAGATTGCCTGCTCCTATGATCCCACTGTTGTGAAGGAATTTTATGCCAATTTGCAAACCTCTTTTTCAAAGAAGAACTCTCCAAACTTTGGCAAAGTTTTTGTACGAAATTCCATCTTCTCCTTTTCTCCCAAAATTATCAACTCTCATTTACAAACTCCTATTGTGATAGATGAGGATAATTATGGTGATTTTACTGAGGTTTGTAAAGTTATTTCTGGAAACCGTTTAAGAAGTTGGCCTGCACATCCCAGAAAATTCAAGGTTTCTCAACTCACTGCCTTTTATTCTGTCTTGTTTAGACTCACAGTGATGAATTGGATTCCATCCAAAAATGTTTCTGTGGTAACTAAACCCCATGCAGTACTCATGTACAAATTGGGGATGGGATTACCAGTTGATTTTGGCAAACTTTTCTTTAATACTATTGGTCATCTTGCCCAGAAAATTTCACCTTCCACTCATCTTCCTTATCCTTCTCTCATCTATTCCATTTTACTCTCTCAAAACTTGGGCCAAGATGACTCAGAATATCTTCACACTCCTCTAGGCATAATCACTGTTTCTCAAAATTTTCTGAAGGCTCCTCATGTCCAAGATCTTCCTTGGAATGGAGATAATTTTCTCTCAACTGAATCAGGTCAAAATAATCTTGGTACTGAAGGTGTTGCTCCTAATGTTGACAACACTCCTAACATTCTTGTGTCTGTTCCTAGAGATCTTCTGTTACAACAGCTTACTCACTCTCTAGCTCAGATTACGTATCACCAGTCCATGGTGGACATGCTCCAAAAGTTTCTTTCTGATCAAAAAGGAGGAGAAAAAGGTCATGAAGCTGAAGCAGGGACTTCTCACCCTTTGGATACAAGAGGCAGGGAGCAAGGAGTCAATGAAGAGGGAGCAAAGAATGAGGGCGAAGCTCAAGAAGCAGAGGAAAGCAGTGGATCCAGTGCTAGTGATGGAGGAGCAGCAGCTGATACTGAGGAGACTTTGGATACTCTACTTTAATTGTTTTCATGAACAATATTTTGTTTTTATTTTTGTTCTGTTTATTTTCCCTCTGAACTTTTGTTTAGGACTGCACTTTGGTTATTTCTTTTGTTGGACTATCTTGCTGAATTTGGTTTTGAATTGATTTTTCTATATTTTTCTACTATTATCAAATTCAGGGGGAGTTCAAGCAATATCTCAGGGGGAGTTTTTGCTAAGATTTAGTTTTGATCAGAAAGTTAAAAAGGGGGAGTTTGAAACACGTGGATTAATTCCACGTTGTGTTTTTAACTTTCTTACTCTCTAAACTAAATTTTAGTTAGTGGGTTAAGTAGTGCTTAGTGGATTAAATTGTGGAATTTATCTTAACCTCCAAACTAACCCACTAACCCACTTTCTTGAGTGCTTTTGTGGTTGGTTTTCTTGCAGATCATGGGCTGAGGAGTGGAAGCTTGGCAAGTCTATGAATACCAAACTCAAGACTCAAGAATGATACAGATTTCGATGAAACAAAAAGAGTGCTGAAGTTTTAATCTCGAGAATTTTAGTGTGTTTCTAGGATGTGTTTGTACGTACTCTTTATGAGTACATTATTTGAAATCTAGAATTTTTAATATTTTTCTTTTAGTATCTAGATTTGATTGTAAGAATGATCATGAGAATGATCATTCATAAGGAAGAAGTTTTCGCACTTCTTCTGTTTGTATTCTTGGAATACTGATTTTAATATATTTTTTCCGTCCTGTAAAGGGCAAGTTCACAAGTCTTTACTTGTGAACATTTTTAATTCTGAGTATTGTTCTTTTATCTTTACATTTCCGCTGCATGTTTTGTTCAAGTGTCATAACACTTAAGATAACACCTCTGTATTAAACGAATTCGGGACCATATATTCTTTCAGTACTGTACGTTAACTATATCTGAAGGTTCTTGCAGGCACTTCATTTGTATCTAGGGAATCATGACGCGTAGTTGCTAGACGCCAATCTTGATTCGTTGGGTGATTAAAGTGAAACGAGCTTCATCTTAATCGTAACTCTAAGGGACGAGTTTTGACCACAAAGGGTTGTGGGCCCACGGCTAGCTTACACCTGAACCATCGAGGGTCACCCTACTCGTGCACATGAGATCTTTGAATAAACGGCCAGAGATAAAATGGTTTATCTTTGCATGATTGGAAGTCAATATGATTGGGTCCAACATTAGTAATTTGGAATTACGAATGAGAATAAGAAAAGGAAAAGAATAGGCAAACGTGTTAGTGGACTTTCTAAATCGGGAAGTTTCCAAATTTAGATAGCGCACTAAATTAGGGTTTCCACTTTTGGAAAGTTGGAAATTGAGAGTTGGCACTCGTAATGACGAGGACATTATAATGATTCTGAAAATGTAATCGTTACAATTTTCCGATCATTGAATTGAGAGAGGCGAGCAAATAAAAGAACCAACGAACTTAAGTTGTTGGGCCCGGTCCAACTTAAGCCCGTTAGGGTTTTATGCAAGACACTATAAATACTTGATTTATAGTCTTGCACACAAGATACAAGACCTAACCCTAACCCCAGCCGTCCCTCTCTCTCTCTCGCACTCTCTCCCGCGGCCGCCTCCGCCGTCGCTGCCGCCGTCTCGCCGCAATCGGCCATCCGCTGGCCGATCCCTTTCGGTAGTTCTTTCCTTCTTTCTTTTCTTCCGTTATTTCTAACTATTACGTGTCTAGTGCCACGTGTTTAGTAGATCGAAGTATACGAGGTGAAATCCGAGAGGAAGAAGATCGAAGATCGACGAATTGAGGAGCAGCACACGAGCCGAAGCCGCACGCAACCCCACGCGCCGCCCGAAGACCGCGCGTGAGTTACACGCGCCGCCGTGGCCCGTCACGCCGCTGCTGCCGCTCCACCGCTCCTGCCCCGGATTGTACGGATTGGTTTCCGCAGCAATCTCGTCTTGCTTAGCGCTCCTACCTCACGCTTCAAGAGGTAAACCTTTCGAATCAATTGTTGATGAATTCGATTATGTTTAAATTAAATATGTATGTTCGTTCTTGTATGATTTTATGTGAATACATGAAATTGATTTATATGTTACGAGCATGTTATTTGATTTAAACGCGAGCATGCTAATTGATTTAAATTCGGTTAAATAATTGAGCATGTACGTTGTTAATTGTTTTAATTATCGGGCATGTGTTTATGTGTTTTAAAGTTGTTTAAATCGCATAAGATTTTTGTTTTCCGCTGCGTACATGTGCCCGTTACCCAACAAGGTTATGATGGAGCTAGTAACATGCAAGGAGAGTTTAATGGTTTGAAGAGTTTAATATTGAAAGAAAACAAGTCTGCTTTTTATGTCCATTGTTTTGCTCATCAACTTCAGTTGGCTCTTGTGCAAATTACTAAGAAGAATAAGCAATTTTGTGAGTTTTTCGGTTCTCTTGCAATGTTAGCAAATATTATTGGAGGTTCTTGTAAACGTCAAGAGTTGCTTCGGGAGAAACAATTTAAAAAACTGTGCGAAAATATTTCTTTTGATAATTTTGTAACGGGTAGTGGTTTGAATCAAGAAGCCACTTTAAAAAGGCCGGGAGATACACGTTGAAATTCATATTATTTCACAATCTTGAGTATGATTAAGTTGTTCTCGTCGGTGGTTGATGTACTAGAGTATTTAGCAAATAATGGTGATGATGTTGCTCATTGTGGACAAACCACAATTCTTTTAAGAAATATTGAGTGTTTTAAGTTTGCCTTTGTTTTGCACTTAATAAGATGAGTCTTGGGAATCACAAATGATTTATCACAAGCATTGCAGAAAAAAGACCAAGACCTTGCTAATGCCATGAAGCTTGTTACTTTTGCTAAAGATCGACTACCAGAATTGAGAGAAGATGGTTGGAGCAAATTATTGCAACAAACTTCAGACTTTTGTGTTGAGCATGACATTCTTGTCCTAAACATGGATGATAATTTTCTACTTTACTCAAGAGATGGCAGAGTATCCCGAAGAGGTACACAAATTACAAACTTGAATCATTATCAGATTGAGGTGCTTTACACAGTCATAGATCTTCAACTTTCAGAGTTGAACAATCGTTTTGATAATACCAATACGGAGTTACTTGGTTTGATATCGTGTTTTGATCCAAGTAATTCGTTCTCTGCTTTTGAGAAAAATGCTTTGGTGAAATTAGCTGGATTTTATCCAAACAAGTTTGATGATTGTGGTCTTATCGTGCTTGAAAATCAACTTGAAAATTTTATTAGAGATGTTAGAACTGATCAAGACTTTTCAAATATGATGGGGGCTAGTAGGCTTGCTGAGAAGTTGGTTGCAAAGAGAAAAAATATTACTTATCCATCGGTGTACTTGCTATTGAAGTTGTCATTAATTTTGCCGGTTGCAACTGCATCAGTGGAAAGGGTATTTTCTACAATGAAGATTGTCAACTCAGAATTACGCAATTGTATGGGGGATCAATTGTTGAATGATATTTTGGTGCCGTACATTGAAAAGGATATATTAGATAATGTTAGTGTCGACGAAGTGATGAATTTTTTCCAAGAAATGAGACCACTCGAAAGATATTTTAGAACTTTTTATTTGTATATCAAAACGGTGGAATTTAAAAAAAAAAATCCATGTTTATTATTTATATATTTCTTTGTTATTAAATTTCGAACACCCTTGATTAAAATTCAGGATTCGCCACTGGCTGGAGAAGAGAGTGAGGGAGCTGATGGACTCTGACACCGGGAGGGAGGTGAACCGCCGACTGACGGAGATGAAATACTCTGTGGCGGCGGCGGCGAGGAAGGGTGGATCGACAGTCGTGGCTATGGAGAAGTTTATGGAGACGATGATTCGGGGTTAATTTATTTATTTATTTCAAATGGTTTTAATATTTTATAAAATAAAATATTTTGTAATGTTTAGTAATATTTTCTAAACATGAATTTTAACCCCTTCATATTTTTGCAAAATATGATTTTTGAGTTTTGATCCTTCATTTTTCTGTTTTCTACACTTCTCTCTCTCTCTCTCTCTCTCTCTCTCTCTCTCTCTCTCTCTCTCTCTATATATATATATATATATATATTAATTTTCATACTTAATCTTACAATATAAAATAATATGAATATAATTCGGTAAATATTATAAATAATTTTAATTTTGAAATTTATATGAATACCTCTAGAAAATAATTGGGGAGATTCCCAACACCCCAAAATTGTTATCCTAAAATAATTTCCCAAATCTATTGCTTAAAAAGAAATCTCCATCCGGAACCTCAATTTAAAAGGGTAAATTACACCCATACCCCTGAGGTATGCTTAAATAATTTTAAGATCCCTGTGGTTTCGATAATTACACTCACCCTCTGAAACGTAGTTAAAAACAATAACGGGATAATGCATTGGATACATTATTCCGATAGGGTTCTAATAGACTATTGCTTTTAGCTAATGGTGAGATAACATAGAGTTATGGCAAGTTATGGGGTGACATGGCTCTCCCAATATTTCTTAAGTCACCAATAACTTTTTGTTATCTCCACCACTTCCTGTAACCAATAGTCCGTTAGAACTCTATCGTAATAACTTATCTAATGCATTATCCCATAAGAGTTTATAACTACGTTTCAAGGGGGTGAGTGTAATTATCGATACCACAGGGACCTTAAAGTTATTTAAGCATACCTCATGGGTGTGGGTGTAATTTACCCCAGTTTAAAATTAGGCTTGGGCCCAAAGTGAGTATTTCAGAATATTTTGGGCCTCTTATGCCATTGGGCTATCCCAAAGTGAGTATTATTCACCGTCAATCACATGTTTGCTGGTCAAGGAAACGGAAATCGACCGAGGCTTGCAATTGCAATGTCCTTAAAAAAATTTCTACGGGTTGTCTATACTGTAACAAGCTTCTCTTGGTAGTATTCCATGATACAACAATCGGTTACTCCAACTTTGCACAAATTCGAAACCCACGACGAACTTGAAACAAGAACGAAACTTAGGTGGAAA